TTACTTCCTTTTGTTTCTTCTTTTCTGAGACAGGGTTTCTCTGTGGAAATCCACCTGCCTCTGCTTCCTTCAGCAAATCCTACCGGCGTTGGCCACCACAACTGGTTACTCTATTTCCTCCTGTTACTTTTTCTCTCACAAGCCCACATATATTTTTAAATGTAGTGTAAACCTTTAGAGGTTTTTCTTTATCTGGATCTGTCTTTATCATCTTGGGAGTGCCAAGTCCAACGCCCAAGAGCGCCTGGAAGGCACGTGCATATGGAAGCTGTTCCAATGCCTCTCAGTGGCCTGACAGGGCAGGCTGTGGCGGGCGGCAGGTTTATCTCTTTTTCTGGAAACCTTGGGGCATGGAGTCATCTCACTTCTGACACCATTCTGTTATGATAAATCTTTCTGCCAAATGCCGCCTGAGCCCCACTGCCACGTGTGAGCTTTACGCTAGCCACCTGCCTGAGTTAGGCTCAAATAAATACGCAGAAACTTGTATTAGGTTCAATGCTGCTTGGCCAATGACTAGGATTTCTCATCTGTTAGCTCAGTCGTATTTATCATAAATCTATATATTTTATAAGACTTATCAGACGCCTTGTTGGCGTCCCTCCTGGCTGGTGGATCACATCCTGCCGCTGGAGGAGGAAGGGGAAAAGAGGGACCCTTCCTGTTTCTCCTTCCCTTAAATATGAGTCTCCTTGCTATGTCACTTCCTGTCTGGATCAGCACTTCTACTACATTTCCCAGAATCCTCTTTGACTCCTAGTCCCATCTACTTTCTGTCTCATTGGACAAACAGTATTTTATTTAACAAACAATAAGATAAACATACATAGTACATTCCCCATCAGATCCCAATCTCACAAACCTGAAAATCCAAGTGTTTGAATAATCGAATCATCTGAAAACCAGAATTATATTCAAATCATTTCAGATTTGAAGCATCTTAGACTTCAGAATTTGGATATAAGTTTGCTCAACTGGTAATGCCTAAGAAAATATTACACGATATCCTTCAAAAGGCAATAATCTGAAAGGATTCTGATCCCAAGCACTTGGAGTAAAAACAACTCAACACCTTACCCTAGTCAGGAAGTTCTTCCCAATGGTTTTTCCTTGGTAAGACAAATAGGGAACATTCTGCTCACAGTGGGGAACATTCTGCTCACTTTTGTACTAAGAGTCAAGGGACTAACTTGGATTGAAAAAGAGTCAAAGGCAGTGTGATGGTCATTTTTAATAGTCAATTAGACACAATCTAGATTCAGTTAGGAAGAGGCTCAGAGAGCGATTGTCTAGATCAGGTTGACTGTGGGTGTATCTGTGGAAGATTGCCTCCATTGTGTTCATTGATATGGGAAGAGGTGGTCTACATTTGGGGTCTCCATTTTCCAGATTTGGTTCTTGAACTGTATGAGAGTGGAGAAAGAAAGCATGAATGCATTAATTTCTCTCTGCTCTTGACTAAATATGTAATGAGTGTAGCTACTATAATGGAAAGTAAATAAAGCCTCTCTATCAAAAGTTACTTTTTCTTAAGGTCTTTTCCCAAAGCAACAGAAAAGAAACAAGAACAGGTAGTAAATTGGAGGAAGCCTTCCTAGGGCCACCAGTCACAGTTAGACTACATTACAACCACAACTGTCCAGTGGAGCCAGAATCAATGTGAAGATTTTTTTATTATTATTATGTAAAAAATATGACTTTTTGTTTCAGATGATGCCTAATAGCTGTAAATTTCTGTATATTCCACACATTTTTACCCATGCAAAATTTTTCTATGAAGACTGTATTGTGAGACTTTAGGAAACCACAAAGAGATCATTGGTTGGAGAAGAGGAAGAAATAAACAGCATAAGGGGGGGTGAATAGTAGAACACAAGTGATAGGGAGGGGAAAGAGAAACAATAAGAGGGGAATTTAAGCAACAAGAGGAATGGCGATATGGCAGAGGGGGAATGGAAGGATGACTAAATACTATTGAGAAAGCTATATGAAAAGCTAATATTTTGTAAGCTTCATACATATATTCACATGAAATAATTTAATTGGAGTTACTTTACAAAGATGATTATGTTTTCCAAGAAGCCTTAGTTAGCCAAGAAAAAAGCCTAGGGGATGGATTAGGGGGGTGGGCATGGTTCTGAGAGGAGTTAGGGGGAGGATATAGGAATGAATATGATTAAAATTCATTGCAAGAAATTCACAAAAATTAATGAAAATATTATTTAAAAAGAATACATTATGTCCCTCTATGCTTTCCTTTTCTTTTCACTGGACCACTTCACTAATATTAACCATGATTTACAGACCATGTGCAATCATTTCATATTTTCCTCCTAAGTGAAACAATTCAATTCTAAAGATTTTTAGAGCAATCTCACTTTGGGCAGAAAACAACATTGGAGAAAAATATAAAAGCAAATAAAGAGAGACAAGGAAGATATGGGAAAGTGCCTGGTCTTCTAATTTTTATGCTTTGGATTTGAGCATTAACTCAGCAAGGGCCTTCCTCTGCAGATGGAAGTACTGTTTCTATTCATTATAAGAACTAGACATCCCTACTTGAGGAAGGACCAATTGAAATTGACATACAATGAAAGTTTTAAGGGATGATTCACAAAGCAGAAGCCAATCAGCACTGTCCAGAATTCTAGAGTAGTTGACTATGCCTGTTAAGCACAAGCTTGGATCCTGGCAGCTCTCTGACTACACTCATCGGATACAGAGGCTTGCTAAGGGAATAAATAGCACTTTCCCCACAGTCTGTTACTGTGTATCAAGTTAAAGCAAGGCCACATGTCAGAACACCATTTGCTCTAACACCATGAGCTGTAAACAGTTTTAGCTGAAGATGATTAGAAGATTCCTGAATGTTTAAAGGAATGAAACCAAACAGTTATTGAGATTTTGATATGTGCTTATCGCCCTTCTCACTTTATTTTTGTTTTCTTTAACAGTCTGTGTCTGCCAAATACACTGGCCCACTTAGATCTTCAGATTCAACAGTGACCTGTGACCTTACTTCACTTGAAACCAGACCTCTCTCATTAGGGAAAAGTCCAGAGCTACCTCTAGCTTGAAAGCCAAACATTCCCCCCCCCCCTCTCTCTCTCTCTCTCTCTCTCTCTCTCTCTCTCTCTCTCTCTCTCTCTCTCTCTCTGTGTGTGTGTGTGTGTGTGTGTGTGTGTGTGTTTGTGTGTGTATCTTATGTGCAAGTTGCGCATGGCAAAGTAATTCCCCAGTGCCTATCAAGGTTAGAGCTCTGATTTAAGACTAATGGATTGGGTCTGTATTATTTGCTCCCCATATGAAATAGTGATTGTTCCCATCTGGCTGCAACCTGAGTAGGGCTTGAGATGATTAACAAGGCAGTTAATAAAAGTGGGGTAAGAAAGGCGAGAGACTAAGTCTTGACCTATCTCAGAATTTTCAGGCAAACAGGAGAGTCACCTTTTTAATGAAGAAATGTGATCACATAGACCAAAGCTGCAAATTCAGAATAATTCTCTCATGAACCAATGTGAAAGAAGTATTCTTCCTTGTAAGCTATTCTAAAAATGTTATGAACTAAAGTAACAAAGAGACTTCTACACACACACACACACACACACACACACACAAATTTGGACATTTTATGCCTAATTTCTTCATACCAGGGAACAATAACAACAAAAATGAATTCTTCTATCTGCATAACTGTCTGTCTCTCCCTTAATCATTTTATATGTTGAAAACAAATACACTTATCTATGGATCAAATGAAGACATAATAAAAGAGGTATGACTACTGAGAGTATGAAAGGTATCCTGGTCATTTTGTTGAAATAAATCTCTTGATGTGGAAACACAGGAGGATTGTTGCCCTTCAGATGTGTTGTCTCACATGCTGTGACTACAGTGCACACAGGGCAAATGGAGTATACAACATTTGATGTGACACGAAGATAGAATTTGAGAATATCATTAGAGTGAACCTAAAAGCAGTCCTACATGGAGGTCAGAAGGGTTAGAGAAAGCTAAAGGAATATATAACATACAATAAAAATTAAAGAACACATGTGGCTCTTTACTTCTATTTTTTATTTTTGAAGCAATTTCTCCTACATCTATTCTATGAAAAACACTAAGTGCATCCCAGAGCCAGTGAGAGTAAAATGAATGAGAAGGGTGAATGCTTCTGCTTTTCTTTTATAATCACACAATGGGACTACATAAATTAACCATGTAAGACAATTATTATACAAGCCTTATGGAAAATAAAGTTTTCACATCCTCAGCGCTGTGCCCTAAAGGTAACTAAGATGTCAACATGAGTGTGGTCCTTTCCTTCATTTTTAAGATGCCCATGGAGACACCTAGGA